AATTCATCCAGCTCTCTAGCTCCGCAAACCCTCTTATCCCTGAAATGCTTCCAGTGGTTATCCTTGCATCGCATTGGCTCCCTTATGCAAAACCATTGCAAGTGCCACTAATGGTCCATTGACTCTGGTATCCTGCCTCTCTGGTCCTTGGTTTCTCTTTAACCAGTACCAGTAGCCAGTTCTAGATGTTTCAGAGACTGGTATAACCCTCCCTTCCCAACATTCCTTCTTGTGCAATCCCACTCTGGAACATGCACTTCCTTCCTAGTCATTCCCAGCTGATTATCGTATGTCCTTATGCTTTAGGGCTGATTGTCCTTATGATTTTATCCTGTACAGCTTAGGGATGTGAAAGACTGCTTATTGGGTAGCCAACAGGATAGTCGCCTAGTCGCTTCCCCCCCACTCCTTCCCCCTTGCTGCTTCTATCTGATAGAGGGTACTTCAAGCTGGCAGCTCCGCTTGAAGCATGGGGCCAGACCCTGGTCTCCACGTGGCGCTGCTGCTTTGAAAAGCTGTGTGCAGCTCGGAGCCAGCTGGGGTGTCCCCAGGCTGCATGCAGCGTTTCAAAGTGGCAGCGCTGTGTGGAGCCCAGTTGACCCCGGGCTCCGTGCGGTGCTGCTGCTTTGAAACGCCACAGGGAGCCCGATGTTAGGCTTCTTGCAGCGTTTCAAAGCAGCAGGGCCACATGGAACCTGAGGTCAGTGGGGGAGTCCTCAGCTGACCCCAGGCTCTACACGGAGCATTCACCTTTGAAGTGTAGCAACAGCAACCCTATGGCTGTTGCTATGCTTTACAGGTGGAGGCGCCCTATCAACTAATCAAATAATTGATGCAAAATGCATCAACTATTTGATTAGTCAATTACCCGATACTTAACATCCTTAGTACAGCTGCAATTTTTTCCTAATATCTTTCTTTCTGGAACCTTAGTGCCCTATCCAGTTGCTTACTGTCATGTGGCAGTGAGTTCCACAGGTTAATTGCAAACTACGTTAGCAATCTTTCCTTTTTCAGGTTAGAAATATATCTCTTTTTTTTTTTTATTCTGTTTGCCCTATTTCAGGTCAGAATACACAGGGAGAACCGAACTGGCTTTCCCTGTGGCTTTCCTTGTGCCATAAGTCTGTCTCTCTTCCTATTTTAATTTCTGCCTTGTACACTGGATCTTGTTTGCTGGCTTTCTCTGTCTTTACTCTGAACTGAAATTAACAAACTGACTGCAGTATGTGTGCACATTGTCACTACTTTCTTATTGTTCTCCATCACTTTCTTAACAGCGCAGTGTGTGGTTGTCAAAGCACATTCCTGGGAGTCAGACACTGGTTTCTGTCCTTGGCTCTAAGAGCAGCGTCTAGTGGCTATAGCAAGGAGGTGGGAGTTAATACTCTTGGCTTCCATTCCTGGCTCTTCCACCCAACCCTGTTTCATAGCTCACACTTTGTCCAGGTGGGTTCAGTCATACTTCACAAAGAGAAGCACTCAAGTCTGTTTTTTTCCAGCTGCACAATAACAAAGGTCTCCACACATCATAAATACTTGGAGGCAGTACTAAGCTGAAAAGAAGTGGTTGCGGGAGATTGGGGTACACATCTAGGGAGGAGTAATGCAGAAAGTGATCAAGGGGTCATAGTGGATCACAGGCTAAATATGAGAAAACAATGTGACACTGTTTCAAAAAAAAGCAAATGTTATTTTGGGATACATTAACAAGAGTGTTGTGAGCAAGACATGAGAAGTAATTCTTCCATTCTACTGTACACGGTTCTGGGCATCACATTTCAGAAAAGATGTGGACAAATTGGAGAAGGTCCAGGGAAGAGCAACAAAAATTATTAAAGGTCTAGAAAACAAGACCTATGAGGGAAGACAAAGAATTGTTACAAGGCGGAGGGAGGAAAAATTATTCCTCTTAATCTCGATAATAGTCCAAGGAGCAATGGGTTTAAATTGCAGCAAGGGAGTTTTAGATTGGACATTAAGAAAAATTTCCTAACTGTCATGGTGGTTGAGCACTGGAATATATTGCCTAGAGAGGTTGTGGAATCTCCATCACTAGAAATATTTCAGAGCAGGTTAGACAGACATCTATCAGGGATGGTTTAGATGGTTCTTGGTCCTGCTGTGAGTCATGAGATTGTACTTGATGACCTCTTGAGGTCCCTTTCAGTTCTGTTAGTTTATGATTGGGGACATTGGTATAACCTGGGCATGGGATTCAGGAACTAAATTCAGCTCTCTTGTCTCTGTCACAGACAGACTATCTTCATAGCCGGAAAGGCATGGGCTGAACAGCCAATCCTAGTGGAGACAGGACACAGGCAATTTTGTTGTAGGATAGGTGAGCTCTATCCTATACTCTTCTGTGGCCAGCTGAGGCAGTCTCCCAGTAAGAGGCAAAAATCTACCTGTCTCTTTAGCTAGCTCAGTGTAAAGTCTTAGTAATGCAATTTAACTTTCTCAGCATCAAAACTCCCCTCTTTTGCAGGGAAGGACCTAGCCGGAGTCCCTGTGTGATCTTTGTGTCTCAGTTCCCCAGGTGTAACATGAGGATTATATTACCCCATATCACACCGGGAAGGTAGGAATGAAACCTATAGATGATCATGAGGAGCCCCTGTTATGACGACGGGGGCAGCTATAGAGAACATAAGAACAGCTACACTGGGTCAGAACAAAGGTCCATCTAGCCCAGTATCCTGTCTATCCAGTAGCCAATTACTTATTCTGTTCATTCCCTGTTCAGAGGGAATGAACAGAATAAGTAATCATCACATAATCCATCCCCGTCAGCTATTCCAAGTTTCTGAGAGAACCAGCAGCAATGATTGAGAGAGGAAGCTGTTTCATTGTTTTCATAAGTGCGCCAATTTGACCTGTTTGTAGAACCCAACTGGATTAAGTTCTGAAGAGCAAATTCCATTCCAGCCCTCGGACTGCATCCGTATCAACCCTGTCAGTGAGATGGACTGCCCTTCAAAGTTGGGTTTCAAAAGTGTTTTGGAGACCAGGGACATTGCTTTTAGAAAGGAAGATTAAATATGCTGCAACCAAGGGTTGGGTGTAGGGGGGAACCTAACAAGAGACAAGAATTGTGGCCTGTGTGTGCATGGGCTGATAATTCAGCAAAGGGGAAATGCTTCAGGGCAGGGGCGATCTCTTTGTATTTGTCTTCACTGCACAATTCGACCCCTTGATTTGGCCTAGTTTGAAAGCTGCCACACTTTGTCCACATTGGCGCTATCCTTGCTTGAACAAGGTGCTAGGACTTTTGGGAGATGGTGGGGCTGTTGTACCCCATGGTTCTTAGCACTGTGCTACTTAGAATCCTCTCTATCAATTGTCACAGGGGTTGGTGGGAGAACTTGTCTGCCCTTTACAGCCAGGTGGGCAAAATCAGTGAGAAGACATCTTGGAGTGGTAGATGTCCCAAGGCTTGTTCCTCTGGAAATCAGTCTGGACAAAATGCTGATGAATAAACCCTAGGGATGAACTAATGTGTGATTCGGAGAGAGCTCTTCCATCATCTCCTGTGATGTGCCAAGATGCTGGGGGCTGGGGAAAATTCTCACCCTCTCTTTGAGGACTTGAAAAGCCTTCTGAGAGGATGCTTTTTTTGATTTGTGCCAAACCGCTTTTGCTTACAGAGAGAACCTCCCTCATATCTAGGCTAAGAAATCTCTCTGTTTAGCAGTATCACCATATTGTCTGAAATTAAGATACTCCTGGCTCCAAAGAGATCTTGTGGAAGTGTTGGGAACCCTAGCTGCCATCCTGCTGGTGATAGATCGCATTGCTCACAGCTACCCTGAAGGAGCAAGATGTCCAGATGGTGTGTTGAACATGGGGAAAGCAGCAGTGGACAGGGTGAGAGCAGACACACGAGGCATTAAAACTGCTGGTGCGAGGTGGGCAGAGTGGATGATGTCCCCTTCTTCAAAAGAAAGCACAAGAAAGCCTGTAGCTAGCCCTGGATGCTGTTATAGAGCTAGATAGCTTGGCAGTATGCGCTGGTATGCCCCGTTGGAGGCGTAGGCTGGAATGCAGTTGTGTAGGGTCTTCAAGGCAAGGACATCAAGTTTTAAAGTTGATTGAATGGAGGGGAGCCTTTGGAGGGATGCAGAGAGGGAAGGGTGACATGGGCCAGAAGGCCGAGGAAGATAAGAGGGCTGGTTTCTCGGAGTTCAGTCTTTGCTGAATGAGGCAAACACAGA